CTAAAGTCCACTGTCACCCATGTCTTGTGCTGCAGCTATGCTGAGATCCTCTTTTTCCTCTGTCCTAGTCCCTCTTGTTCTTGTGCTCCAGACTGACACGTCCTCAACGACTCCCCACTCCTACCTTGCTATTTGTATTTGCTGGTCCCTCTGCCTGGGATATGCTTTCTCTACATAGAGCTGAGAAGTGGGAGGGAGTGTGTGTATGTGTGTGTGGGGGTGGGGGTGGGTGGGGGGGAGAGTTTCATTCCTTCATTTGAGATCGCTATTCACTTGCCACTTTAATCACAACATTGTATCTTGTCTCCTAACCTTCAATCACTATCGTTAATGCTGTTTTTATTTTATGTTGGTTTGGAGGCACAATTGACGAAGCAGAGGGCTTACTCCTGGCTCTGTGCTCAGGGGACCATATGTAGTATCAGGGATCAAATCAGAATCAGCCAGGCACAAGGCAAGCACCATAACCCCTGTACTATCTCTCTGGCCCCTATTTTGACTTTCTAACAGCATTCCACATATATTTGTGTCCTCATATATTTGTTTTCTGGTGTACCCTCAAGCATTGATCCTGCCAGAAAAGCAAGAACTTTGAAACATCTGAAGAGAGCTCCAAGGCAAAATGATGTAACCTGGGCATAGAAACTGTGTCCACAAATAAGAGGTAGAGCTGGGATTTGAACCCAGACCTTCTGTTCTCTCATCACATAATGTCCTTCTCACTGAGCCCATTCCCAAGGCAGTGGATATCCAAATATGAATGGGAGTTATACAACTTCTTCACAAATTGTATTTTTATCTCTATGTAATGCTTTAGGAAAAGTTTTGTTGCCACATTAAAATAAATGACAAAGGTCTAAACTAGGTTGGTAGCTATGGTCATGGATAAGAAGCACATGACACACATAATGGAAAAAAAGCTGAGGTTAAGCAACAGAATGCATGGGATATAAATGGAAGAGGAGTCATAGAAGTCTGAAGTGTAGGGCCCAGTGGTTTGTAATGTTGTAGCCACCAGCACATGTGACTAGGGAGCACTTAAAATGTGGTCAGTCTGAATCCAGATGTGTGTAAGTGTAAAATACAGCATTTCAAAGATGGGTGAAAAAATGCACATTAAAAAAAAAATCTCGGGGGTATGGTGCTGCCAGCAAGTCAATCTGTACCTGTGAGGCGAGTGCATCAGCAGCCTGATGGCGCCTTTAGACTTCCAGATACCCCCAAATTGCCGCTGTGCCTTTGGCCAGACCCCAAAAACTTGGGGCAAAGTTTACCAAGAAATTAAATGGCCAAAAGTTAGGTATGCGGGAGACACACCCACAAACCACCTCGGGCTCAGCTGTAGAATTGGAGGCATGGCCTCTCTGGTTCCTCATTGAACTGCTTAATGGCCATGATCCCAGAGACTCAGAAACAAATCTCAAAACCCAAAGGCTTTTGGGAGAACTGCGTCCAGTCCCTGCAGTAAGTTACAGGTGCTGGGCCACCCCAGGTGGGAATAGGTTTCGTGCCTTCGCCTGTTTTACCTGACGGCCCAGTGGCCACCATCCTCCAGAGGCCACTGGTCAGTCAGATTTGGGCCCACAGTGGTGAGACACGTGGGTCCTCACAGGATGGGGGTGGAGCCAGCCTTTTCCTACCCATCCCAACAAGACGCTGCCCACAAATGACCTCTCTGGCTCCTGATCAAGCTGCTTAATGGCCATGACCCCAGAGACTCAGAAACAAATCTCAAAACCCAGCGGCTCTTGGCAGAAATGCTTCTGGACCCTGCAGTAGGTTACTGTTGCCGGGCCACCCCAGGGGGGAAAGGGTGCTGTCCCTCTGCCTGCTCCCCCTTGGTGGCTCGGTGGCCGCCATTCACCAGAGGCCATTGGACAGTCAAGCTTGGGCTCACAGTGAGGAGACAAGTGGGGCCTCATGGGATGGGTGTGGAGCCAGCCCTTTCTTCCCCGTCCCAATGAGACCCCGAGTTGCTGCCCATGAAAGGCCTTTCTGACTCCTGATCAAGCTGCTTAATAGCCATGATCCCAGAGACTCAGAAACAAATCTTGAAACCCAGTGGCTTTTGGCAGAAATGCATCCAGACACCGCAGTAGGTTACTGTTGCCAGGTCACCCCAGGGGTTAAAGGGTGCTGTCCCTCCGCCTGCTTCCCCTTGGCAGCTTGGTGGCCGCCATCTGCCAGAGGCCATTGGGAAGTCAGGTTTGGGCCCCCAGTGATGAGACACACAAGGCCTCACGGGATGGGGGTGGAGCTGGCCCTTTCCTCATCATCCCATGAGACCCCGAGTCATTGTCCACAAACAGTCTTTCTGGCTCCTGATCAAGCTACTTAACAACCATGATCCAAGAGACTCAGGAACAAATCTTGGAACCCAGCAGGTTCTGGCAATCCCTCCATATTTAAGTGTTAAAATTTTGGAATTTTAAAATCACATGGCCCTACTGCAATCACACGACATCATATGTTATTCATAACCAGCAATAGAAAACAAATTGTCTACTGTTGCCTTTTCAGCAGATCTGAGTGTTGGGGCAAAATCCCATATAATAATGATGGGTCTGGTGTCAAAATATTGAATGTAATCAAAGTAGAGAGAGAGTAATGTGGAAATCATCTGCCCCACAGGTAGGGGGAGGGTTTGGGGTGGGGTATACTGGGATTTTTGGGGGTGAAGAATGGGCACTGGTGAAGGTATGGGTATTTCATTGTATGACCGAGACTTAAACCCAAAGCTTTGTGACTGCTCTCATGATGATTCAATAAGTAAAATTATAAAAAATGGGAAAAAAATAAGGTGGAGTTCATGCCCAATTCAATCAGCTAATCAGTGGCTGAATAAATAGCAGTACTCCTACATAAAAAAAAAACTCAATGACTCTTAACATATTGAAAAGACAATATGTCAAATATACTTAGTTAAATAAACTTTATTATTAATGCCACCTAGGTTTTGTTTTTTGCTTTTTAATGTTGTAACTAGTAAAATTTAAATTTGTGGCCATACTATATTTCTGTGCTATCACTCGAGCAATAGCACAGTGGGTAGGGCGTTTGCCTTGCACGCAGGCAACATGGCCGACCCGAGTTCGATTCCTCCGCCCCTCTCAGAGAGCCCGGCAAGCTACTGAGAGTATCTCGCCCGCACGGCAGAGCCTGGCAAGCTACCCATGATGTATTTGATATGCCAAAACACAGTTACAACGAAGTCTCCAAATCGATGATCAACGGGAGGGCCTTTACTTTACTTTACTTTTTACTATATTTCTGTTGGAGGGAGCTTGTTTAGAATAGGAACAGTGGTACCATTTTCAGAAAGAAAAAATATCAAAGAAGAAAAGGGGCTATTTTAGTGACAGAAAGCTAAAGTGAGACTTAAATAACCACTTCCACCAGAACTTAAAAATATGGGAAATAAAATTGAGATGGAGAATTGACAATCACATAATTGGTTCAAAACAGATATACAATATAGCCTGAAAAAGTCTGAATGCTTTTTAGTCTAATAGAGTATGGCCAGAACCTACCAGAACATTTTTATATACTTTAAAGGGGATGGGGAAAGCACTGTAAAGAACACTGGTCCACAATGGAAGACAGGAAAAAGGGTTTCATCAAAGGTGAGCATGGGCAGTACCTATAGCACCGCCAGAGCTAAATGCCTCTATGCTTTCTCAGTCTGACATCTTTAAGTGGATGACTCAATAACTAGCATGACCAACTAACTTACTAGTCTGAATCAAGCCACAGCTGGCAGCAAAGGAGGCATTAATAAGCTTGTGCTCAGACAATAAGCCAGGACTGTCCCCAGCAAACAAAGGCATATGATCAGCCAACTTCAACTAATTCCTTCTAATTTTTTATTCTTATTCCAACTTTCTGAGTATATCAAATGTGCCTGAGGTCAAGTCATACCTTTCAGTTCACTGAGATTAATAAAAGCTGGGATGTTTCTTTTTGATTGATGTGGTCATTTAATACCAGGATTCTTTTAAAACTACAAAAACCTGGTGCTTAATAGTGGTTATCTTACAGTCAATGACATCATACCATTAATAATATAAAGTGGGCCAGAGAGTAAAGCAGGTAAGGTACATGACTTGCACACAACATCCCTGGCACCCATGTGGTTCCTTGAGCCCACAAGGAGTGATCCCTGATCTCAGAGCCAGGAGTAAGCTCTAAGCTCAGCTGTATTTGGTTCCCAAACAAAACAGAATAAAAAAAATAATTAACTGTATAATGTAATTTGGTTTCCTGTATGGTATGATATGAAGGATAATTCACTAATGAGAAAGTAAGAATGTCTTTCCATAATGCCTTCATTTCCATTGAAAAATGACAAGAATTCAGATTTGATCATTCGTTTCTTGTGGGATTGGTTAGTTTGAATCAATAACCTAAGACTAGGTTCAAATTCTACAAGGGTTAAGGTCACCCAGGGAACATTGTTGAAGGCCACCATGGACATCACTATGATCTGTCTTCATTTGAAACTGGGAGAGGTAATAAGACAAGGACTTTGCTTTAGGTCTATTACACTTAAAAGGTCAATAAAATATTAAAGTGGAAGTAGAGTTAAAAGTTAGAACTTAAATGAGATGTATATGGGTCATATGTAATTAGAGAAGAAATGTTTCTGCTTGAATACATATAGCTAGGGCTCAGATAAAACACTGGAGGTAGGAAGTGACATGTAACTAATAAAAAAATTCAGGAGTATAAGTGTAAATCTATTTTCACAAAAGTGCTAAATTGGATAGACAAGTGATGGCTTGATGTTTGCAATCTCTTGGGAATAAGAAGTTTATGAAAAGTACTGTAATTTTATTAGCCATAACTGATATTGGCTCAGAAGGCAGGGGAAGAGAAAACAGCAGGAAACTAGTCAGATTATATTGGAAGCATTACGAAATGTCAGCAAAGATACATTCCTTCAACAAAAAACACAACAATAAGATAAAACGCAAAATGAAAATATGTTGAAATCGACTTACTTGTTTTGTCCAATTGTCTCAAAATCTTTCACAACAATCCCCAGGGCAGATGAAATGTCCAGTGGTATACCTCTCAAGTCAAACTCCAAAATCTGTCCACAGAAATATTATGAAAACAAAAGAATGTGAAAAGGATCAGGGAACAGCAGAGAATGCACAGATACTGAGCATGGGATGGTTATCTTCATCACCGATTCCTTTTGAATTGCTCAATTTTTATAGATAGACATGATTAAATTCTGAGGCTGGAGGCAGCTGATGGTTGAGGGAAAGCAACCAAGAACAAGATCTGGAGGCACTTCCTGCTTTCCTATGTTTCAGATTCTGCACCTTTACACCAAACCCTGGTCTCATATCAAGGACTAATTTAACACCAGTAGCAAAGTTGGCAATTATATAAAATGTGTGTGTGAAAATGCTGTCTTCAATGACTACTTTTAAATGACTTGCTCTTATTAATTATAGTATAATCAACAAAGAGATGAATAATCTAAAGATATTTTTTTCCTAAAATGCACCAACCCCTATTTTAAGTCCTAGAAAGTTAGTATTATAGTCAGAGAAGACTTTCATCTTTAAAGAAATAAACTGCTGCTGTAATAGAGCAAATGCAACAATACAGCATAGTTTGACTATATAACATATGAATTAAATAGAACAGCATTTTCTAATGAAATCGTTCTCCTTGTAATGTGTTTGGAATGGACAGGAGTTCATCTTCTGGCTCAGAGTAGAGCTTGCCAAAGATCCCAATGGTTCTTGGGTTGCTATTTCATTTGGGTGTGTTTCAGTTATAAAACTGCAGTAGATAGGCAGGGGAGATGACTCAAAAGACTGGAATGAATACATGTAGGAAACCCAGGTTCACTCACCAGCACCATATAGGCCCCTGGGTATCAGGTCTGGTCCCCAAACTAAGCCAAATCCCAAAGACCTACTACAATTGACAAGTTATTTAATAATTTGAGCTGCAATGTGAGAAAGAAAAGAAGGTGGAAATAAAATGGGCACAAATGGCCAACACACTAAGGAAGATGTGCGTGTGTGCAGATGACCATTCAGCCAGCGGCCACAATCACTGCAATGAGTCCAGTAAAAAGAGTCATGCCCAGGTTAGTCCAAACCCGAAGCTTGAAATAGATGAACCTGTGTACATTTTATTTTGTTTTACTCTTGAAACTTGGTGTCAGGTGCTAGGATCCAGCAGTTCCCCTGATCTCATGGAGCTGGCTGTCCTGCTGACTTGAAATGGGTTCCAGTAGAGGAAGAGGATTCCCTCTTGCCGCCTTGTATGAGTTCTTTTTTGGAAAGGCATACAGAGAATTTTTATTCTCACTTGAGGGGCAGAGAGTAGACGTGGACAAGAATTGCAATCAGAAAAGCCTTCATAGCTTAGTGACTTACCAGAAATAACCAACATGTTTATTAACGTCTTATATCTAGGGAGGTTTAACCTGGTTGAGGGTGGGGCAGAAACAAGGGGATCAAACAACCAGCTTTTATTCTTAATTCTATTTATTTTGGTTTTGTGGCCATGCCTGCCAGTTCTCAGGTCTTACTCCTGGTTCTGCACTCAGGGGTTACTGCAGGCAGTGCTTTAGAAACCGTACATGGCACTGGGGATCAAACCTGGGCAGCCTCTGTGCAAGGTAAATTGTTAACACATGTATTTTCTCTCTGGCCCCAAATGATAAGTTTTTTATAAAATACTAGTGAGGGTAAGAAAATTATGCTCACTGTATCACTGTCATCCCATTGTTCGTCAATTTACTCAAGCAGGAGCCAGTAACGTCTCTTCATCTGAGCCCTGAGATTTTTAGCAGCCTCTCCTTATTCATCTTTCCCAACGATTGGAGGCTCTTTCAGGGTCAGGGGAATGAGACCGGTTATAGTTACTGGTATTGACATATTGAATATGCCACAGGGAGCTTGCCAGGCTCTCTGCCCATGTGGGAGGGATACTCTTGGTAGCTTGCCGGGCTCTCCGAAAGGCATATATAATTTAATTTTGTGCATATATTAAAAAGAAACTATAAAATACATATGAAGTCAACAGTGGAAGGGGAGATAAATTATATGCCTTCAGTAGACTACTAAAAGTCATTAAAATGTTTTGAATGGAATTTATATGTTAAATCCTCAGGATAATAATAAAGATATTAGAATAGAAATTAGTATGCTCCATATGCTAATTTTATCATTTTAAGATATCACATCTTATTAACTATGTTCTTTCAATAAATGTTAACAATTGTTGGTTCCAGAGAGAAGAACCAAAAGTAATTTTTAAAATAATTTTATTTTATTATTTTTGTGGGGAGACACACCCAGCAGTGTTCAAGCACTACTCCTAGTTCTGTGCTCAGGGGTCACTCCCAGTAGTGCTTAGGTACTACTGAAATTCTGGGGACGAAGCAGGCTCAGTCGCAGGCAAGGCAGATACCTTATCACCTGTACTATCTTTCCAGTTCTCAAAGGTAAGTTATTTTTTGTGTGTTAAATATATTTTGTGTTCATCAGAATAAAAAACAAACGTCATTACTCAGCCAGACACACAAAACATGATACTACAGTCATGATAGTCAGGTGCCAACATGCGCTCATTTGTAGATCTTTCTCCCTGGGATTCTCCAGACAATCGGACCACACCCATTGCTCTACAGATGTGCTCTAGACATGTAACATAACCAGACCAAGACCTTGCTGCAAGCGCAGAACAGAGCTACACCAGACTAGGACCAGCCCTCCCTTCCCACCATACCACCCCCGCCCAGCAGCTGCCATTGTGTTAAACCTTCTAGAAGATGGGAAAGGGAGAGCGGGAAAGTCTGGGTGAAATGCAGATTCTCCTCCCAAGGGAAGAGCTAACCTCTGACCAGAGGTGGGTCCATCAGGGCCCGTGCATCCATTGAAACAAAGTTGAAAAAACAATGAAATCACCTCATTCCAGACAGGATTGAGTTCATTATCCACTTTCTTTGTTTTCTTTTTCTCATCTGTAAATACAAAGTAAGAGATAGTCAACCATTAGAAATAGGAATAGAGCATGGTGCAATCATGGGTTTATTCAAAGAACTTCCCTAAGGGTCAATCAAGTTTGCAAATGTTAGGAAACTAAGGGAAACCCCATTTTCCTATTTGGCTCTCTAGAGTAAGGGTTACCCAAATCAAAGTATTCCAAACTGACGGACATTTTTGAATCTAAGATGCTGTTCTCATACCTAGGTTTACAAAGGGCTGGAGCAATAGCGCAGCGGTAGGGCGTTTGCCTTGCATGTGGCCGACATGGCCAACAGAAGTTCAATTCCTCCGCCCCTCTCGGAGAGCCCAGCAAGCTACTGAGAGTTTCTTGCCCTCACGGCAAAGTCTGGCAAGCTATCCGTGATGTATTCAATGTGGCAAACACAGTAACAAGAAGTCTCACAACCTTACTGGACCCGCTTGAGCAAATCGATGAACAACGGAGGACAGTGCTACAGTGCTACAGGCTTACAAATTGTGTGGAAACCAGGAACTCAAGACCAAAAAAAATGCTGGGCTTATCTGGTTGTCCCCCACCAACTCCTTCAGATAACGCTATCCAGGACCTCTGACCTTTGCCAGACATTTGTGCTCAGGGATCACTAATGGCAGGGTCCAGGGGACCACATGCAGTGCTGGGGATTAAACCTGGGTTGGCCACTTGCAAGGCAAGTGCCTTACCTACCGTCCTGTATCTCTAGTCCCTAACTCTCACCGCTTTAGTGGATGAGGCTCAAAGAAGTTATGACACTTGTTCAAGCTCATACACAGTATTGCTGAGATAAAGTTGGGGTGTCAGCCCAGAAGCACGTGCAGCAGCTGAGGACCACAAGACCCCCACAGCACTTATAGATTAAGGCTGGACTCCCACTGCTGTCCCACACTGCAGACCTCAGTGTAAGGTAAGAAGTAGATGGACACATTCTAGGACCAGTGGGGAATTGACAGTTTTCTTTGCTCCAGGATTTTCTGCAGATATGAGGTCTTTCCTCTGTGGCTGGGACTGAGCAGTAATAAACTGCTGAAAATTCAAACTGTCCTTGAAGTCCAAGGAGTAAGGGATTTTGGGTGATCCCTAAATCCCCAGATAGATACCAAACACCATAGATGTGCAAGATGCTGTGCAAGCATTCTGTCATGTGTTTTTGGAATTAAAGCCAAACCAGGAAAGGAGTTACTTACAGTCACTTGTTTGTAACAGAGGATTCAGAAAGAGAGAGATGAAAGACACACAGGGCCAGAATTCTGTGTGTGTGTGTGTGTGTGTGTGTGTGTGAGAGAGAGAAATAGAGAGAGAGAGAAATAGAGAGAGAGAGAAATGGAGAGAGAGAGTCCTCTTTGTCCTTGATTACAGATTTGATGACACCCCTGGAAACTCTGCAACCTCTCCTAATGAGACTTTTGAAAGGTTGATGGGCCTATGTTGCTGGTGTTCAGACTATTCCTAGATTGCTTCCACTTATACTGGGGGTAGCGGGAGGGTATGGCGCCAGGGACTAAATTGAAGTACATGCAAGACAAGGCAGGGCATCTCTGACTATCACTCTGCCTTCCACTGGGACTTTCATGAGTTACATCACTTAGAAATGATTGATCTTGAACTCCATGCACTTTCTCTCTCTCTCTCTCTCTCTCTCTCTCTCTCTCTCTCTCTCTCTCTCTCTCTCTCTCTCCAGAGAGGAATTGTCAGGGGTTGAAAATTCCAAACTTCTATGTCTTGATTTTTCTGGTGACGCTCCCAACCGTGCTATCTCATTAGAGTTAAAAAGGATCCTAGCCCCTTGACACTTAATCTTGACCAGAAATTCAGGGCCAAAGACCAAATATGAGGACAAGAGGTACTCCTGTGTTCTTATCACATAGGAAATCACAGAGGTTTTGGGAGCTCAGTGCCACTATAGTTCTTTCTATTGTTCCACATTGTCCTTAAAGATCCTAGTAGATAGGTTTAATCATTTTACAGCAAAGGAAACATGTGAAGTAATATGATAAGAGTTAGCAGGCGGCAGGGTAAGCTTTTTTACCAGCCGCCCAGAGGCCTGGCCACACACTGATCCCCCGGCTCCCCCCTCCTGCTGTGGAATGTGGGTGGCATCAGGTTTAGTTCCCCTTCAAGTCACATGGCTTAGGCCTTGCTCATGGCAGCCGACTGTGGAACTAACCACCTCATTCTTCTAAGACCTCAGCATAGCAGAGCCATGAGTCATCACCCCCACTCTGCTAAGCATTAACTTTTCCACTTGAGTGGGCATCCCAGAACCCCCACAGGCTTCCCTTTTCAGTGACCCTAATCTGGCGCATGACAAGACCTCACTGTGCCTTTCTTTGTGGAGCACAAAGTCATCCCAGTCGTCTCCCCTCACCTGACAGAAAGCTCTTGCTCTCCCTCTCCACCTCCCCTACACCCCACTGCTTAAGGTAGAGAGAGGGGAAGTCCTCTCAAGAGGAAGATATGCCATGAAAAGTGATTTCTCTGATGGAACAGGGAAAAAAATGGATTCTATTCACAATGACTATAACTCCCTCTAAAGACCCACATTTAGAGGGTTTTTTGTTATCTCTATGGCGGAGGAGCCTAGGCCATGTTTAAAAGCGATGCTTCTGTGGAAACTGTGGGAAACGCCAGAGAAAGAAGCAGCCTAAATGCAACATGTATGATGGACCTGGAACCCTGGGAATGGCCAGAGGGAAGTCCAACACACCAAATACCACATCTGTGAGTTTGGGAGGGGAAGAGAGTTTGTTGTTTTCATTAAATTTTCAAATGAGTCAGGGACTTGGAAGAGGTTAGAAATTCCTGCCCTGGAAAGGGTGAAATGGTGTCATCAACCTTCCTCAGGATCTCACCTACCCTGTGACCCAAAGCTGAATGGCCCAAGAACTAAGTGAGGAAGAGGTGTCTAGACCCTGAGGCTCACAGGGAACTTTCCAGAGAGAAGATGGGCCATTGCAAGAGGCAACAAGTAAGACCAGAGAACAGGCAGGGAATAATTTGGATTGATTGGGCACAGGAGTCTAGGGGGACAAGAGTCTACCTTCAGAATCCACAACATGCCAGGCAAAAGCTAAGGCAGGAATGGAGCTCCAGGCAGGCTTGCAGAAAGAGTCAGAATTTGTTCATTTAAATCAAGGCGCAGCCTGGGAGTCAGAGCTCAGGACACACTACAATGCCATGTAGGTGCCAAGCCTGGAAGTACTGACCAAGTCACCCCCAGCAGGGCTAGGACTGTTCCAGAGCTAGCACCACAGCACTATAGCACTGTCATTCCATTAATCATCGATTTGCTCGAGCGGGCACCAGTAGCGTCTCCATTTGTCCCAGCCCTGAGATTTTAGCATCGTAAACTTTCCAGAGCTAAGGAGTACAAAAAGGATTACTTGCTCATTCCTTTGTTTTAGGACTTATTAGATACTTATTAGATACTTATTAGATACTTGTGAGTAACTGGTAACAAGGGTTTACGCTACCTCCTGGGCTGGAGAGATGCTCAACAGGCTAGCTCATGGGTTTTGCATGCAGGAGGCCTGGGTTTGACCCACATGGCCTCTTGAGTAGTCAGGAGTGACTCTTGAGCACTGAGCCAAGAGTAGCTCCTGAGCACCACTGGGCACCCTTCAAAACAAAGTTGCCTCCTGATCCTAAAACACTCCAAAAATGTTACTAATGGGCTATTAATAGAGGACCCAAATGCATCTCTGGGCATATTCTCACTAAACAGCAAAAGATTTTTCCATGCCGTTGCCTGTTTCATTCTCATACTGAAGTTTCTTTCTAGAAAGGGGAAAATGATGAGAACAACTTGAGGTTAGAACAGGTGAAAGGACCTCACTGCTCAGCCCTTGGAATTGGTCTACTATGTGGGTTCTTCCATAAATCAACATCCTTACTCTTTTTTTCTGCTAATTCATTTTTATTTTAACATCCTTACTCTTAATGCACCACCTGTATTTTATTTTATTTTATATTTTTCTTTGTTTTTGTCTTGGAAATATATCTGGTTGTGCTCAGGGATTACTCCTGGCTCTGCACTCTGGGATCACTCTTGGTGGCACTCAGGGAACCAAATGGGATGCAGGGATTGAACCTGGGTGGGCCATGTGCAAGGCAAGTTCCCTACCCGATGTTTTATTGCTCCAGCCCCAACTGTATTTTAAATACCACTTGCAGGTACTGAGCTGGATACTGCAGGAGTTACAAAACTGACTAGAACATGGGTTCTGCCCTCAGAAGTTCCTATGCGACTATAGATGTAGCCCTACCCACACAAGGCTTCTGCCACAGTCAGAATACACATAAGACACAAATTCAGAGCAAGGGGAGGCCACTTCAGGCTGTGGACATCAGATAAGGTCTCACCAAGGAAGCAAAAGCTAAGTTGGGAGTTGAAGAACAGGATGGATTGTGGAACTAGAAAGAAATGGTCACTCCAGATGCAGAGAACAGCGTGTGTGGGTTAGTCCTAGAGGAGAAGAGAACAGGTGAGGCCTGGGGACAGAGTTCAGCAATTGGCTGGAACCAAGCAAAGTGGAATGGGGAAAAGGCAAAGGTGATGGTCACACTGAAGCTGAGATCTGAGCTTCACCTGACAAGTAAGGAAGGATGCTGACAACATTATTGAAGAAATTAACAATCTAATGAGTAATCCCAAATTGCTCAAGTCTGCCGATGCGCAAGTTCCTGAACACATAATTCAGTTGTGTGTTGAGAACAAAGGGAATTAGTTGAGTCCCAGGGGAAGCACGTTGATCACAGTCCAAGTGAAACTTCCAGCAGCTTCTGAACTTGCCAAGAATGATGCTACTGACGATATGGCCCTCTGGAGCCCTCTCTAGGCAGTCTTCAACTACTGTCTAGACTCTCACCTCCATCATTTCAGGCAATCTTCTTAGCAAGCCTATGGGGTGGGCATTATGAGGTAGACACTGTGGTCCCCAATTGGCAGTGTGAACGCAGAATGGTTAGGTGATGTGCTTA